CTAGAATTATTGTACGGTTGTATGAATTTTCATTTCAGTGTTTGTAAGACTGAAATTATTTAAATTTCGGTGTTGGAAAACTATTTTGAACTTGTAAAATCAGTTTATTTAAATTTCATTTTATTTAGCAATCTACAAACTAAAAAAACAAATAATTTTCTTCTTACAGACTACAAACATTTGATCAACATTCTGTAAAATTTACAAATATGATCCGTAGACTCTAAACGTTTTACCTATGAAAAATCAAACAACACCCTAATGTTTTACTTTATCATAAACTTAATGGTAATTATGAAAAAATGAGAGTTTACTTACTTTGACTATTATTTTCTCTCTCTCTCTCTCTCTCTCTCTCTCTCTCTCTCTCTCTCTCTCTCTCTCTCTCTCTCTCTCTCTCTCTCTCTCTCTCTCTCTCTCTCTCTCTCTCTCACACAATTTTGATTATGAGAACCTTACCTCACAGTTATAAGCATAATTTATGAAAGGCACTTCTTTTACCAAACTGGGAGAATTAAAAGTTCATTAATTATCACATTTAGTCTTTATAGTTTTTTTTAACGTGAGATCTAATCTACTTCTAACCTACTTTTAATTTTATTTATATTTATTTCTCAAATCGAATTTGAACCCTCCACCTTAAAAAAGGACAACAATTGATACAGCTATATTAGAAACCTTTCGGTTTTAGTTTTTATAGTTAGACTTGGGTTACATCCTCCTCAATCCCATTAAATACTAAATCTAAGGGATTTAGTTAAATTAAAGCACCATAAACTAATAACATGATGTACATATATATTACTTCCATCACTTCTACCGCCTTAATTGCAGACTCAAAATACCTTATTAATATTAATTCTCGGTTATTTTTTAAAGTAAAAGGAATAATAATCCCATTAAGGTACAAAACCACTTACCTCAATTTCACGGGTGTTACATTCTCTCAAAGGCCCTACCGATTTGGTTTGAACACACACATAGACACTACCTCAATTTGGTATGAAAAATGCACATACAAACAGGCATCCCTTCCCCGATTTGGCTTGAACACACATACTCACAAACAAAGCTTAAATATTTATTTTCAGTTTTAACAATCTGATTTAGTTTTATTTTGGACATTTTTACCAATGATATCCCACTTTGATTTCACTATGTATTTGTGTTGTTTCAATGTTTGTATGTGTCTGTTGGGAACAATGTTGAAGGCAGAGGTAGTATGTTGATGTGAGGAGATGCGATGGAACCAAAGTTTAAGGACTACATGAGTTAAATGGTTGATAGACTAAATTGGCGTTATACTTAAAGTAGTGTACCTTTACGTCATTTTATCAACTATGATTCAGACTGATCTTTAACTTTTTTTTGGAAAAAACATAGGATTAAAGATAACAAAAGGGTTATACAACTTTTAGATGATCATATTGGGTAAACGTGCAACTTTTCTCGTGAAGTTTATGAAAAGAATAATATAAAAAATGAAACATTTAATGGTGGAAGACTAGGCTTAATTGTCATGTTTTCCATGTTTTATTCTAGTGGAATCAATATTTTATTTCTTTTACAAAATTTCAAACATTTAAAAGAATCAAGTTTACAAATAGAAACAAGCACACAATGCAAAAAGATTGTTAAAATAAGTACATTTGTATAAGAATTCAACCCCATAATTATTAAAATATTAGAATTTAAAAGTGGATCATACTATAATTATTAAAATATCAAATGCTCGATGCACGGTCAAATGAAAGTTTTGCACTCTTTAAAATCTTACAACAAAACTCCTACACAAATAAATCCTATAAATTTCAGCTACCAACTAGTTTTTGTTAAATATATTCTTAAACTTCTCATTTATCTCAATTCTCAGACATAGAAAAAAAATCAGCATGACGTATTCAAAATATTTCATTTATGTATATATTGAATACATAAATGGGAAAAGACGACGAAAGCCTTTTTTCTTTCTTTTTCAGTCGACTTGAAAGGTGCTCTCAGTGTACCGCCATACGCACCCAGACATCCCGATGAGAGGGATGATACGAGGATACCCCGTTGTTAAAGAAAGAAGAACGGTTCTCACCACCCTCCTCTGGTGCAAACACCGTTTGCTGCGCTGCGCTCATCACGAGAAGCCGGGGAACTCTCTTGGGTGGACTTCAAGCGCGATGATAGTCAGTCTGAAGTTTTCTACTATGCCATCTTTATTAGTTCAAAGACCGGGCTTGGGGGTTGGTCTCAGTGGTCAATGAAAATGTACTAGTGTGTTGTCTTAACATGCAGAAATTTTATTAGACTGCTAGCTTTACCAGCGGTAGGAGGGTGAAAAGACGGTGCATGAGCGAAGTAGGATCCTCTTTTTTTGTATCCCATCGACGATATTATTTGGTTTTGGTACATAACAATTTGCATAAGCAAAGTCGAATATTTGTTACAAATCTAGATCCTGCACTCTCATCTCTAGTCTCTAGCTATCATCTTAGTATATTAGTCAAGCTATATCTTGTACTTTCTTGGGCCTAACTAAGAAAAGAGAACAAGAAAAGCAAAAGCAAATACGACTTTAAGCCAGGCTGCTTCATTCAAGTCTAGGACTTAGGCAAGACTTATAAATCGAGCAGTTATAAAGCAGTTTAATCGCATTTATCGTCTCTCACTTAGCTCTGATCTGGTGTCGTCGCTCACAGTCCAAGAAGAGTAGTCCTTTCATTGGCTAGCGGGATTACGCTTAATGGGATAGACCGATCATCGCTTCCTTCCTCTACTAGTTCTGGAGTCAAGCCAGCAAAGAAGTAGACTCCTTCCTTTTTCACTGGCTAGCATCATAGGGATATTCGACGTTTAATGAGATAGTCTAGTTCTAGACTAAAGCTAGCAAAAAACAAGACTGAGGTCGATAGGGGCATTACTAGTAATTGCTAAGGTGCTTTATTAAGTATTTTCCACGCTCCTCTCCAGTCTCTTTCCAACCTTTGTGATTTCATATACTATTCCCGTATGCCATATCTCTTATTCAATCTTGCTATACGTCCAAGCTCGGTAGTTGGAAGCAGAACTGAGATTGGATGTGACTGAAGGAAAAGGGAGATAGGTGTGATAGGAGGGCACAATTAAACAGGTAAGCGAAGGCTCTCTCTCTCTCACTCTGTGGTCTTGTGTGAACTCCTTTCCGCCCATTATTGATCTTCACTCTAAGTGAGCAGGTCAAAGCAGTTGAGGTGATAGCAATAGTAAGCAGGGAAGCAGAAGCAAAAGGTCTTCAAAGAACTTTTGTGTAATAAAGCTTCTTGGTCTCATTTCATTGGTCTCTAAGGTAAAGTCTCGCTTAATCGTTCATCGATCTTTTTCTGTAAGGCCTCGGGCCCCACGAATTCTGATTTCTGTTTTTGTTTGTATTAAAGTGTTGGTAGCTTCTAGCCTCGAGCTGGAAAGTCTCATCGGCGGGGGTACTATAGATATATCATAACTCTCTAATTGAGACTCAATCTATACAATCAATCAATCAGTATGTGCAATATATCGGTCTTTGCGATATGCTCTTTCAAATAGATCACAAATCTTCCCGCTTAGCTGCACTGCTCTCTGAGCTCTTTTGTCCGCTATCGCTTCCTCTAGTACTAGCTCTGATCTCTCTTCAGCAGTTGCAGTAAGATTCTTTAATTCATCTCCTGCCCTTTATAGTCGTAATCGCTAGAAACTCTATATCATTGGCAATTGGCATTGGCGTAATTTTTTTTCTCCTGTCGGAAGGGGGTCCTGTCGAAAGCAAGAAAAGGCATTGCAAATGGCGTGCCCTTACTCTAATTCTAAATAAAGCTCTTTTACGCTCTTGGTCAGGCCTGTAACAAGTATCTAAAAAATCTTTTCTTTTCGGCCTATGGTTCGGTCAAAGCAATGACTTGAGTGAGTAAGGAAGTAGGACCTTTTTACCCCGGCTGTAAGTTATTACTGACCCTTCTCTGTCTCTCCCCCGCGTTGTGAATGAAGTGAGTAATTCGTTGGTGCTTGCCCTTCAGTAAGTAGTTCGGATGGCTGGATACATGCTACGCTCTGCCACGCTTGCCTGACCGCGAGAAGCCTTAGGGTAAAATAATCTTGAACAGCAATTTGAGAGCATCTTTGGAATTGAAAGAATGGGCTAACCTGACTTTCACTTTCATAAAAAGAGAAAACTGGACTTGTACTTTAAGAAATGGAATTGCGATGAGCCAGAAGTTAGAATCTCGCCTAACCACCTGTCTCCGTCTCCCGTAGTTCCCCCCAGAAACATCCGTTTGCCTACTTCTACTCTAGCCGGGGGTAACAGTCTTTTTGAGAACCAAGTGCCCCTTGAGGAAGACCTTCAGAAAACCCCTCTAACTCGGGGAAAGGAATTCAAGCCCATAAAATGATTCAAGTCTATGATAGGTACCAATAGTCTTTATGGCGCTCTTACCCCTTATACAAAGCACCAATGACTTCGGTCTTCTGAAAGGGGCTTAGGGCATATCATCAAAGAAAGAATCCCGAGGAAGGGGGTGAAGCTGAGGTTAGAAACGGTTTCTCCCGTTGTTGGTAGTTCATTAGGTCGGGTTGTTTATTTTTTAGAGCTTTTTCAATTCTTTCAGAACCTTTCGTATGCGCCTATTGGAAGATTTGGGCTACCTCCTCTCTTTCCGATCTCATTCAGATAATAAGCCAGTCCGGTTTATTAGATAGTGAGTGGGTAAGAGAGGTGCTTGGTCTGTCTCCGAATGTGGGCCTAGAAGCATTAGCCGAGTCTCTGAATATTCCCGATGGTTCTCAGGATAAAGACAGCCTTAAGGTGCTAACGGAGCTTCCACGGCCTCAGTCCATGAAGGTGCTTGCTTTATTGGTTGGCAACTTGGTTATAGTCGTTATGAAGAATGAAGGAGCGACGAAGGAGCTCACTTCCATGACATGAGAAAGGATGATGGGATGAGGAAAAGAAAGAAAAGGTGCAAGGTGAGGAGATATCGAGAGGTAGAATAGGTGAAATGAGTTCAAAGGAATTAGTTAAGACACGCTTCTTTAGCACAGGCCACAGAGTGAAGTTGGAAGGTTCAATGAACTACGCGAAGGGGAAATCTTGGGCGCTATTGTTGTCTATATACAAGTGGCATAGGCGAAGCTATGGCGACTCGTGGAGTAGACAGCGAGCTCCGCTTGAACAGAAAGCAGCAAGCTGCAAGCACTACTCCAAAAGCAGTGAGCTCCGCAACAAAAGCGAAGCGAGCCGCAGTAGCCTATTAAGTTTTTCAGCTGCATCGTACCGTACTATGGGAGGGGTCCGTGCCTCCTTTAGATAGAGCCCCCCTGCTCCTAATGTAGAGCTAGAACTACTGCTACCGTGGAATCCGCGGTCACACATACGTATCTCGCCTTCCAAAAAAAGCGACTGCTAATTAGCACTAATGCTAATGGGGACCATCGATCAAGAAGGACTTCGGAGACTGCAATAGAATTGATCAAAAAAGAGAAATAAGGCCAACTCTTCTAGTTGCGCCTCTAACCTTACTATGCTACCCTGATAAAAGGTCGAATTCAGCAGGACTGCAGGCACGAAATGCCGATCAAATCCGTTAAAGGAAGCCTAATCAAAGCGGGCAAACAAGAAGATCTGACTGAGTTGATGATGGACTGGATCTCGAAAGGTGAGAGGCTTTCATAAAGACGTATGAGAAACGGAGGGTCGAGAGAGGCTTATTGCACGATCCACCCAACCGCTAATAAATGCTGCATAAGATAAGAGAGTGGGAGGCCGGTCCCCGCCCATCTGGAGGTGCACACCCATTTATGAACATATACAAAGGGCTAAAGAGAGAAGTCCATGGAGAACTACCAAATCCAATGACTTTGATTTGTTCGTACCATTCTGTCATCGATCACTGCTGGGTCGGTTGGTGAGTCACCCAAAAAAAGCATTGAGAAAGGTCAAGCATATATGTTTTATGAAATGATCAGCGGTTTCATTTATGCTATGCCCTGAATCGTGTTCGTCTGTGTTTATTGAGCTTTCAGCGCCATGTGCTTTGCTTCGCTTTATAAAAGAGAGAGAGCCTTGTCTTGAGAGTGAAAAGAAAGGGCAAGCGATAGAAAGGATAGTCCCTCGCGCGTTCGCGAGAACTACTAGAAAATGGTGAGATCATTAGTGAAAGAAGGACCAACGACGATCCTATCCTAAAGGAGAAGAAGGAGTAGGAGGAGTCAGTTTTCTTTGAAGATCGAGGAATCAATCTCCCAATTATGCCATTCGGAAGAAGTCTTCTACAGAGGGAAAGCCTGTTACGAGTAAGTGGAGAGGAAAGATCTCCAGAGATTCTTATCTCATTCCATTCTAGTGGCTCAACCAGTAACCAATGGCGAAAACTAAAAAATCCATGGTTTCCCGGTAGAACCCTATTTCGCCCAAGTTGTTTCAGAACCGGAAAAAAGAAGCGGTTTTTCGCACAGCTTGCGCATAGTGCAGGTCCCACTTGTATATCGTATTTGGCCGAAGAAGCATCGGACAGGTTGGAGTTCTTACCTTCTTGGGATTCCATGGACCAAGATCTGCTTTTATTATATGGGCAATACCGATCTACTTTAGTAGATCATATGGATGTAGAAAAAGCTTCTCATTTTGATGAATTGGAAACATCTCTTTTCCATTTCTATTTACCCAGTTCATATCTTTGTTTCGTGTGTTCCCCGGAGGAATTCGATCTCTTCAATCTCGGGATACCACCTAAATAACTATAACTGCGGCCAGAGAGTCAAATAGGTCGGGAAGAAAGAGTCCGAGGTTGGGTTGGACGACATACATCTTGGTTGGTCCCACCACCACTGGGGATTGGACATATATAGAATCTTTCTTCTAAAAAAGTCTTATTTTATATATATATATATATATATATATATATAATTTTATATTCTTATTTATTTAAATAGCTGCAAGACCACAAAACTGGGTGAAAAAAAACCGAAAGCCCTTCTTTTAAGTTCCTCCCAGATACATGGCTTACATACCCGACTCAACATTCTTGGAAAACAATCGAATCGAGGGTCCGGAGGAGAATTGGCCATTCAATCTTGTGAACTAATCGAGACCGAAATTGGAGAAAGAGATATGAATGGAAAGGAATAACCAATCGATGAAAGAACATGAAACCATTCTGTTTCAATAGAGGTACGAGAAAGGGTTGGGGGCAATGAAGTAGGTGAAGTGGTTGGATTTTGCGAGCTGTTCCCACCACTGCTGGATGTGATTCCAAGAGCCGAACGAGAATGAATACCACACAGAAAAGTCAAGACCAGGCTCCCTAATGGAATGTTTAACCGATCCATTCCGGATCGACCGAATTGGTACGGAAGTTGTAACATGGGAAAACCACGGAAAAAACGACTTATTTGAATAACCCGGTGACCTACCAATTGTAGAAGTAGGATTTTTGGCAAGCAATAAGCACTTAAATAATACAATTCAAGTGTACCATCTTCTTTCTCATTTCGAGGAAAAGGTGCGGAAGGAAAAGGAAACAACGGAGGGATCCGAATCGGACCTAAATGGGAATGACATGAAAAGTCTTTTTCAAAACCTAGCATTAAGGGCGTTACCACGATATATGAGAGGAATGGAGAAAAACTCGTGATTGGTGTGGAGGGGAAGGTCTGTATATAATATAGTTCAAGAAAGAGTCGTCTCATTTCCTTACTTCTTCGTTCTTTCTAATTCATTCACTTCAAGACTGGTTCTGAACGCAGCGTAACATCATCTTCAACCAACCTCCATCGTACCGGTGCGACCACTAAAGAATTGCTTATACACTAAACAGTTGCTTATATACGCTTACTAAAAGACTGACTTTTATTCATATTCAATTCATTAGGCCAGCGTGAAACTAAGAAAGATAGATGTGCCTAAGGCGTAAGCAAACTGTGCACGCTAAGAGAAGAGGTGAGATGTTCGCAATGACTACCACAAGAAAGCCGCCCCCTCTCTCTAAAAGGGCCCGTCACTTCGTTCATAACTTCTTGGCTTAGGCTTGCAACTTCACTTACTTATGGCCTTGCCGCCTTTTTATAGCAGAAGCTAAGTGCTTGAAAAGCGCGCTAAGAAAGGTTGCTTCTGTCGGCCTTTATGTGCAACAGTCCACCAGTAGCAGAAGATAGGGTTACCGTACATACAAGAGTCTTCCAGTTCTTACAGAAGCTCTTTCTTACCAGTCAAGTAGTACAACAGCTGTCTCTTATCTTATAGCCCGGCGCGGCGGGTCGCCTTTTTAATTCAGTAGATAGAAGAAAGTATTAGATAAGGAGTAGGTGAGTGAGTCCTCGCTGACCTGAGCGATTTCGATCACCTAGCAGGCCTTTTCTTTGGTAGGTAACATCGCCAAAGCGTATCATCAGATTTGACTACGAAGGAAGGAACTCGGCAGAAGATCGGTCTGCAAGAAAGGCCTACTTATCCACGGGTTCATTGACAAAACCGCCGTAGGAATGGAGACCTTTCAATAGAGCAGAGGCGAACTGATCAACGAGAAAGAGGCCCTACTCCAATTCATCAAAATAAGAAGCTTTTTCTACATCCATATGATCTACTAAAGTAGATCGGTATTGCCCATATAATAAAAGCAGATCTTGGTCCATGGAATCCCAAGAAGGTAAGAACTCCAACATGTCCGATGCTTCTTCGGCCAAATACGATATACAAGTGGGACCTGCACTATGCGCAAGCTGTGCGAAAAACCACTTCTTTTTTCCGGTTCTGAAACAACTTGGGCGAAATAGGGTTCTACCGGGAAACCATGGATTTTTTAGTTTTCGCCATTGGTTACTGGTTGAGCCACTAGAATGGAATGAGATAAGAATCTCTGGAGATCTTTCCTCTCCACTTACTCGTAACAGGCTTTCCCTCTGTAGAAGACTTCTTCCGAATGGCATAATTGGGAGATTGATTCCTCGATCTTCAAAGAAAACTGACTCCTCCTACTCCTTCTTCTCCTTTAGGATAGGATCGTCGTTGGTCCTTCTTTCACTAATGATCTAATGATCTCACCATTTCCTAGTAGTTCTCGCGAACGCGCGAGGGACTATCCTTTCTATCGCTTGCCCTTTCTTTTCACTCTCAAGACAAGGCTCTCTCTCTTTTATAAAGCGAAGCAAAGCTCATGGCGCTGAAAGCTCAATAAACACAGACGAACACGATGTAGGGCATAGCATAAATGAAACCGCTGATCATTTCATAAAACATATATGCTTGACCTTTCTCAACGCTTTTTTTGGGTGACTCACCAACCGACCCAGCAGTGATCGATGACAGAATGGTACGAACAAATCAAAGTCATTGGATTTGGTAGTTCTCCATGGACTTCTCTCTTTAGCCCTTTGTATATGTTCATAAATGGGTGTGCACCTCCAGATGGGCGGGGACCGGCCTCCCACTCTCTTATCTTATGCATCATTTATTAGCGGTTGGGTGGATCATGCAATAAGCCTCTCTCGACCCTCCGTTTCTCATACGTCTTTATGAAAGCCTCTCGCCTTTCGAGATCCAGTCCATCATCAACTCAGTCAGATCTTCTTGTTTGCCCGCTTTGATTAGGCTTCCTTTAACGGATTTGATCGGCATTTCGTGCCTGCAGTCCTGCTTAATTCGTCCTTTTATCAGGGTAACGTAGTAAGGTTAGAGGCGCAACTAGAAGAGTTGGACCTATTTCTCTTTTTTGATCAATTCGATTGCAGTCTCCAAAGTCCTTCTTGATCGATGGTCCCCATTAGCATTAGTGCTAATTAGCAGTCGCTTTTTTTGGAAGGCGAGATACTTATGTGTGACCGCGGATTCCATGGTAGTAGTAGTTCTAGCTCTACATTAGAAGCATGGGGCTCTATCTAAAGGAGGTACGGACCCCTCCCATAGTACGGTACGATGCAGCTGAAAAACTTAATAGGCTACCACGGCTCGCTTCGCTTTTGTTGCGGAGCTCACTACTTTTGGAGTAGTGCTTGCAGCTTGCTGCTTTCTGTTCAAGCGGAGCTCGCTGTCTACTCCATGAGTCGCCACAGCTTTACCTACGCCACTTGTATATAGACAACAATAGCGCCCAAGATTTCCCCTTCGCGTAGTTCATTGAACCTTCCAACTTCACTCCGTGGCCTGTGCTAAAGAAGCGTGTCTTAACTAATTCCTTTGAACTCATTTCACCTATTCTACCTCTCGATATCTCCTCACCTTGCACCTTTTCTTTCTTTTCATCATCCCATGATCCTTTCCCATGTCGTGGAAGTGAGCTCCTTCGTCGCTCCTTCATTCTTCATAACGACTATAACCAAGCTGCCAACCAATAAAGCAAGCACCTTCATGGAATGAGACCGTGGAAGCTCCGTTAGCACCTTAAGGCTGTCTTTATCCTGAGAACCCTCGGGAATATTCAGAGACTCGGCTAATGCTTCTAGACCCACATTCGGAGACAGACCAAGCACCTCTCTTACCTACTCACTATCTAATAAACCGGACAAGCTTATTATCTGAATGAGATCGGAAAGAGAGGAGGTAGCCCAAATCTTCCAATAGGCGCATACGAAAGGTTCTGAAAGAATTGAAAAAGCTCTGAAAAATAAACAACCCGACCTGAGGAACTACCAACAACGGAAGAACTAGCAACAGCGGGAAACCGTTTCTAACCTCAGCTTCACCCCCTTCCTCGGGATTCTTTCATTGATGATATGCCCTAAGCCCCTTTTGAGAAGACCGAAGTCATTGGTGCTTTGCATAAGGGGTAAGAGCGCCATAAAGACCATTGGTACCTATCATAGACTTGACTCATTTTATGGGCTTGAATTCCTTTCCCCGAGTTAGAGGGGTTTTCTGAAGGTCTTCCTCAAGGGCCACTTGGTTCTCAAAAAGACTATTATCCCCGGCCAAAGTAGAAGTAGGCAAACGGATGTTTCTGGGGGGGAACTACGGGAGACGGAGACATGTGGTTAGGTGAGATTCTAACTTCTGGCTCATCGCAATTCCATTTCTTAAAGGCTTCTCGCGGTCAGGCAAGCGTAGCAGAGCGTAGCATGTATCCAGCCATCCGAAGTACTTACTGAATTGCAAGCACCAACGAATTACTCACTTCATTCACAGCGCGGGGGAGAGACAGAGAGGGGTCAGTAATAACTCTCGGCCGGGGTAAAAAGGTCCTACTTCCTTACTCACTCAAGTCATTGCTTTGACCGAACCATAGGCCGAAAAGAAAAGATTTTTTAGATACTTGTTACAGGCCTGACCAAGAGCGCAAAAGAGCTTTATTTAGAATTAGAGTAAGGGCACGCCATTTTCAATGCCTTTTCTTGCTTTCGACAGGACCCCCTTCCGACAGGAGAAAAAAGATTACGCCAATGCCAATTGCCAATGATATAGAGTTTCTAGCGATTAGACTATAAAGAGCAGGAGATGAATTAAAGAATCGTACTGCAACTGCTGAAGAGAGATCAGAGCTAGTACTAGAGGAAGCGATAGCGGACAAAAGAGCTCAGAGAGCAGTGCAGCTAAGTGGGAAGATCTGTGATCTATTTGAAAGAGCATATCGCAAAGACCGGTATATTGCACATACTGATTGATTGATTGTATAGATTGAGTCTCAATTAGAGAGTTCTGATATATCTATAGTACCCCCGCCGATGAGACTTTCCAGCTCGAGGCTAGAAGCTACCAACACTTTAATACAAACAAAAACAGAAATCGGAGTTCGTGGGGCCCGAGGCCTCCTAGCAGTAGCTTTGGCGATGTTACCTACCAAAGATCTATTAAGAGAATTGAATATGAATTTGTTATTTCCGGTATTTGGGAGGGGGTTTTCTTCGGGGCTCGAGAGATGGAATAGATAGGGCCCCACAAGTTTTGAATTCGCCGCTGGTCTATCGAGAGGGAACGAGGAATTCTCAACGAAAAAAGTGCTCTCTGAACCGAACGTGAAAGTCGTTTTCCATCAGACGGCTGTTCCCGTAACTCTACTCTCGACTTGGATTATATATCCAATAAGGTCCGCTCTCGGCCATTCCACACGTTGCCTAATAGAGGCGTGGTTATCTGAAGTGGATTCTCTCTTTTGTAGTAGATGCCGAACCTGCTGCCCCATTGACTAAGAGGGGGGCGGGCGCAACAGCTACATGGACCCTTTCCTTTCTGTTGTTGCCAGCGCTTTCCCGGGCCGAGCCAGAATTCTTTATTAGAAAGGGAAGGCAAAGCCCGAAGGCTACTATCCTAATAGGCCAGCGAGGAGAGGGCCCGACAATCATACCACCCCGTGGTCGAAAAAGCGTGTTCGCTTCAGATAAGACGCACCGTAGGCCATCCTCGGCCTTCTTCGTTTTCGATGAAAAAGAAAGAAAATCTCGATCTCCGAAAGCCTTTTCCTTCCCCCGCCGCATCTCCCTCCCTTCGTCGAGCCTTTCCTTTAATGGTTGGGGGAAGCATTCCCTTATCTGAACATGGCGGGCATTCTTTCCAGCCTGACTCAAATACAAATAGGAGGTGGGTTTGTTTGGTTTGAACATAGGCTCAAACATTATTTGAAGGGTCCTAGCTACGCCATGCGTTCAATAAAAAAATCTGGAAAGGAAAGCAGCAGGGATGACAAAAAGAGAGCGCTTTCCTGCACTGAAAAAAAAGGACCTAAGAGAAGAGCGTCTTCTCTTAGCTTTCTTCCTCCCGCGCCCGCCGCTGTCCGGCCCGCATTAGAGGGGAAGAAAAATGGAGAGAGAAAGAGCAGATGGATTATATCCCCTATATCGAACACTCATTCCTATCTATTGATAGAAAGATCTTCGTCAAATACCGAACTTTTCCTTTTTTTGTTTTTTTTAGAATTCCTCATATCCAAGGCAGCTTATCACAAGCACCCCACCCCATACGACTTGTTGGGGGGTCGTTCGCCTTTCGAATCAAACAAAGTAAGTGGTAGGGCTCCTTGCTCCGGATGTTGTTCGTACGGTGTGAAAGCAGTTGGTTACGTAGTTTTAGAATTCTGCTGATCCCAAGTAGTCCATCTCCATCATTGCATATGGCAATATAGAAAGTAAAGAGGAAAAGGCATGACCAGGAGAATTGTGTGAAATAAGTGAATTGATCTAGTTGAGGCATGATTGATTCAGTGATGTGACTTCTCCTGCTCTAGTAAATCAGTCTGGAGACTTGCTAATTCAATTCAATTGCCTTGGTTTTTCCAAGAAATACATGGGAAAAATAGGGAGAAAGAAATGGGATTGTGTCAACAGGCCCCTATTCCGACGAAAAACAGCCCCTTTTTTTTTGTTTAGCCTGTTCCTATCAGATAAATTCTTAAGAGAAGAGGAAAAAAATCCTCCGTCATAGGCGGCCGAGGGTACCTTCCAAGAAAGAAAGAAAAAAGAAGCGATTTCTTCTATGAGAGCCCTATTTCGTCGTCTTTTTCCCGCTTTCACCTTCGATTGCGAAGGGCTTTTTTTCCGGTTTTCAATTCCTCTCCGGCGACGTTTGAACTTCGCGTGGTGGGAAGGCCTTCTCGATTCGCATCTTCCCGTCCAGCAAAGAAAGTGAAGGGGCGCGGACAGCAAGTTGGAGGACGCTGCAGAACCGCGTGATTGATCCATCTGCGCTATTCCCTAATTGAAGAAAGTTGTAAAGCCTTCAGAGCCTCAGTCCCTACCATTTTTTTTTTAAGAAAATGAAAGCTGACTAGCAATCGCTCGTTTTTCTTATTAGCATGGGATTGGATGTTAATAATGAAATAAAAACATATATAGATATTAGAAGAGAAGGCAATCCCCGTGGAATTCCTATCGATTTTCGATGGATAACAATCCATCTTTCTCGCTTTCGCTCTTTCTCCCAATCAGTCGCGAGGGTTCCGGGCATGAGAACGCAAGTGCCAGAATCAAACAAAAGGTCCGAACGTCCGAGGACGAAAGAGAAAATGCTCTGCGGGGAAGTCGTTTCCATCTAGGATAGCGTATTCATATCATGTTTTATCGGTCTAAAAAATATCATAATTATGCCAGTTAATTAAAACTCTCTTGTTGATGATACGACGTTCTTTCTACTTAAAGTACATGACAATTTCCTTCATGTAGAACAATAGTTATGAGTTGTCTACTCATACAACTCACAATTTGACTATTTTATATCATAATTGAATAGTTAATAGATAGTTAAATCATTGTCGTGACACAATCTCTAGGCATCACTATCTCAAAATTTCTATTTTGAATCAAGAAAATAGTATCTTTCATGTGTTAGAAGCTTCCACCAAGATAAAAACACATGAAAAACCCTACCAAAGGGCTACAAGACAATTTGGTTGAAAATGGGGTGGCTTTCCAATTTCAAATGCCCTTGCATCCAAACACATAACAACACAACGAACCCATTTGACATTGATTTCTTAACACACCACCTATCCCATGCCACATTTCCTTATTATTAGGATTTTGGAGTTACTGGTTTTTTTCCATCATTGCGTTTGGTTTGTTATTTAAAAAAAAAATAATAATAATAATAATAATAATAATAATAACATTATTTAATTTGGAAAAAGTAAATTCAATAAACTAAACAAAAAATCGTAATTTAAGAAAACTATTGTTTTTCAAAGGTAAATAATACATAAAGTGAACATTTTAAAGTTAAAGTTTAAAAACATATATTGTAATAGGAAACGTTCCAAAAAAATTCCTAAAATTTGGTCTTATTTGTGGAAAAAAAAACATAGTTTTATTTTTGAAACAAAAAAAAACTAGCAATTATTTATATAAAAAGACAATAACCGAAAATCGTTTACACATTCGAGAGTTTAGAGAGATATTGGAATTTAGCCGGTAATCTTCTACAAAAGTCATTTGGGTTTATTCAAGATAAGTCATGATTTTTTAATGGAAAATAACATAAAAAAATACAATACAATTACATTAAGGTAATATCTTATGTCGTACAAATAGATTACAATACCATAATATCATATCTAAGACAAAAAAAAATACAATAAAATATTATCAAAAAAGATAATACAATGAATTACAGTAAAATAATATACTCTGTCAGATAGAACATACATTAAAGTTATACAAATATAAAAAAAAAAAAACTATCATTTATCAAACAAAAAGAATATAATAAGATTACATTAACATAATATTATCGTTAAAACATAGAAAATATAATAAGATTGCTATAAGATAATATAATAATACGCTTCTTCAAGCAGACATCATATAGTAATATTCTAGTAAGACAAAATTATTTGCTAGATATAAAGAATATTATAAAACTATAATAAAATAATTATACTTGTCAAAAAAATTATATAATAAAATTATAGTAAAAAACATGATCATCTATAGAAAATAAATAACATTGTAAGATTATAATAATATACATAGAAAGAGAATATAACAAGTTTCCACCGAAAGAAAATTATAATATATATATATATATATATATATATATATATATATATATATAAAGATCGAAAGAGATATTAAATACGATAATATTATTATAAGATCTTCTACTCTAATAAATGGATATTTTTTTTTTGTCACTTATTACACTCTCATTCAATTTGTTAAATGTCATTTTATGGTTATTTTGAATTAATTTTTATTCAACATGTCATTTTCTGATTATTTTGAATTAGTATTTAAATGCAATAATAAATGCATATTAATTTCCTTAATGAACTTTCCTTTTAATTTCAAAATTACTAAATTAAAGTTTCATTAATTTACTTTATTTACTTATCTAAATTATTTGTTTAAATTTAGAGATAAAAAACACTTTAATTTTTATAATTCAATATTTTTCTCATTTTTCTTAAAAATGTAAAGTTCTCAAATGTTTAGAAATTTATATATATATTTTTTTCTTTTAAATAAACTCATGTAATACATGGGTCTCATACCTAGTAATCATATATGTTAGAAAGATAGAAAGAGAGAAAACAATAAGATTTTAATAAGATAAAAACATTTATCAAACACAAAGAATATAATAAAATTATAATAAATAATTATTAGTTTTTTTATTGTCATTTCCTATTAAATAAATATTGTCATACTTTTCCATAAATAAGATCAAATGTTTGCTAAAAATTTCCTTATATTAATATTTAATCAAATAAACTAGTACAATACATTGAATAAAAATTGATTTACTAATCACAACTAGTTTTCTACTAAGCAATAGTGTCTTTTATTTAATTATAATATTTAATGAGATATTTAAGAAAAGGCACTTTTTTATAATTATTTTAGTTTTTTTTAACAGATAGTGTATGTACTTTGAGTTTTACGCTAGAAAACAACCACCTTATCTGGGCCAAGGACTTTTCATGACAATTATCAACCACCTTTTTTGTTTCATTTTCCTATGCAAATCTATAGGTAGGAGCATGGTGACTAATTTTACTCAAGTTCATTCCTATAATATTACATATAAACATATAAGTTTTAAGTAAAATTAATACTTTAGACAAATAAATATAAAAGTTCAAAATGTGAGTCATTTGTAATACACAATTCATCTTGGTATATTTTAGATAGTTTTTTTTACCATTTGAAGAGTAGAGTGTATTTAGTATATTTTGGCTTATATATTTATTAACATTTTATTGTACACTATAATTATATTAATATATAAAATGTTTATTACCTTTTATTCGTTAATATATTCAACTAATTACAAAACAAAACTGAACATATTATATAAGCATTTATATCATTAAAAGATAAAAAGTTATCGACAAACTTCAACCGAAACAAATATCAGATATTATAAAACAATGTGTTCAAAAAATATTATATCGTTATTCATAACCACATTTGTAATAATCATCTTTTAGGTTTCTGAAAAGAAAAGTTCGACATAATTATCTTTTCGCCTTTGTTTGTTTGAAGCCTTACAAGTTTATAAGAAAATATATTTTATTTTTAGAACGACGACATTAATATTAAAAGAGAAAAACTAGCACGAGGCTAGAAAAAAAGTTACATGAAAAAAGAGTCTAAACAATGTTTTTTCACCCAGCTAACCCACGTAACACGAAACTTAGCATTCCAATCATTAATCCAAAGAAAAGATTTAGATTGAATAAAATCTCATAAAACCGTCATAACAGGTTTAGAATTACTAAACACATGTTTATTACGAACGCTCTAAATCGTCCAAAAGAAAGTCATATCCACGACTTCCAAATAGCTTCTAACAATAGTTGTGATCTGAGTAGAATCAAGCCAAGACAACTACTCAAAAATAGACGCATAAATAGATAAGTTAATTTCCCACCACCTAGGCAAGAGACCCCACATGTCCATCGCCATAACACAAAAAAAAGAAAAGATGATTAACAGTCTTGACATCAAGACTGCAAATGGGGCATAAAACGGAATCAAGATCAAAGCTCATCCTTTCTAAATTGACTATAATGGGGAGTTTATTCAAGCTCAACCTCTAGAAAAAAACATTGACTTTAAGAGATCATCGACTTACCAATACAACCATCAGCCCCATAGATGTCCTTAAT